TTTTACCCAACAAATATGTACAGAGAAGCCCTCTTCTTTATTGGTGGCTTGATAATCTAGATTATTTAAGGCTGGAGAGGCTATTGACAACCAGATGAGTTTGGAGACTTTTTGCAGGGTGTAGCAAGGCAGCCAAGACTGTGTTTGAGCATCATTGCTAAACAATTCTCGCTATTTGTTATGCATTCAAGATGATTTGCATCAACTGATTCTTATTTTTCCATTCAACGGATGTTCACAGTGTGGTAATTGTGGCTTTTATTGATGCTTCTCAATAAGGAAGGAACTGGTTTATCAGAAACTTATCATGTAAGATTACTTTCCTTCCTTCCCTGATGATGTCAACCTGAGGGGAAGAAAAGAGCATCCAGAATTTGGCAAATTCTTAAACACAACAGTAATTTTGAAGGTGGTTTTCTGTAAGTTCTTTTAAGAATTACAGAATATCAACTTCAAAGTTCAGGCTGAATTCAACAGTTTGACGGATCCTGGAGGCTCTATGATTTGAAATGAGAAGGGAGTTTCTACCATTGTCCTAGCCAACAAATCCCCCAAATAAACAGAATTGGTCATTCTCTTAATGGCGGTTTGTGGGACTTTCCTGCATGCAAATTGGCTGCCACATTCGCCTACAAATACCCAATCGCTGCGTTTTACACTATATCCTGTGCAGCGCTTTGAGAAGTTCTCCTGATGTGAAAGGCACTATGTCAAATGCCACATTTATTATTATTATTATAATACGCTAGTCATAATGCAGTCTCAATATGATCTGACATGTCCGAGCTAGGAAATATTCTGATATCAGAATGACTCTGCCCAGCTGCTGTTTAAACTGATTATAAACTTTCCTGGGTTTGGCTGTTGGTTGCGATGCTGAGCTAAAAAAATGCAGTGCTGTCTGAACTGCCTCACCTCCCTCAGATCCGAGCCATTCCCTTTCCCCTCAGATACAACAGTAATTCGCGCGTGTATTTTGCCCTTCAGCTAGGGTGACCGTCTCAAAGCAGTTTACGACTGGACGACTAAGGGGGATAAGTGAGCTGGGCATAAGGACAGGGAGTTTGAGGGTGTTGACCAGTGATTCAGTTATCGGTACAGATTTCAGTCTCGATCTGAAACCTAAGTCTGACCCGTTCTCGAATACATTGGCTCCAGTGAAACACGTTGCCTTTATTAATTGCTGTCGGAAAATCAGTCAACAACTGTCTGAACTCCCAGAGGAGTTTGTGATTTCTTTCACTGGCAAAAGAACACAAGCAGAGCACAGTGAGGAATACAATTTGCAAAAACAAAAGGGTGCGTTAGGCTTGCCGGCTTCCTGCATTCAATAAATCTGACACAATGTGAAGTGGCTGAAGAGCAGCTAATGAAGAGAGGAAAGGTTGAGAATTTCCCCCCCCACCCCCTGGCCCCCCACACCCCGGTTTCCATGGAGTAAACAAGCTGTGTTGGTAAATTATCTCGCTGTCAAGAATATTTTACACTTGAGTTTACAATAATAATCCTTGCATTTGATAGAGCGCCTTATCACGTCGTTGAGATGTTGCAAAGTGCTTCACAGACTGTACAGTACAGTGAATTGACTATATTTTGTGGGCGAAATGGGATAATGAGATTTCAGTGCAAGGCTGAGAGCAAATTGGTTCACTATCACATATGCGTAAGGCTGAGTAAAAAAAAATTAGCATTTTTTCACCTAGCAATCTCGCGTTACAGTAATTTGATTTACATTGGACTTTTGCAGGTGACTTTATCAGAGTAAGTACCTGGCAATATTTTGTCATGCTTTTGGAGGATGCTCAGTAATTGTTTTGCCTGTTTTGGGCAGCACTGCCCAGAGTTCATCCTCTGTTCAGCTGAATAGCAGCCCAGTCGATGTGAGCTGATATGAAATTACTCAGTTGAGAGCTCGAGTCACTATTTAATAGGCTTGGCTCGCTCCCCTACTGAACATGATGTCGTGCTTTTTGTATGACTCAACCGGTGGAAATTTCTTTTAAATCACAGCAAGCTTGTGGATTCGTAATTTAATAGAAGGAATGTTTCGATGCATGAGGCATTACATCAAATGCAAGGATTAATAATAATAATTCTGGCATTTGATATAGCGCCTTATGTTGTTGAGACGTCTCAAAGTGCTTCACAGAATATATTGTGAAATGAATTGACTGTGTATTTGTGGGCAAAACGTGGCAGCCAATTGCACACAGCGGTGTCCCACAAACAGTCGTGGATTGAGTGACTTTTTTTGAGGGATTATTACCCCCGGAAAGCGATCCGCCAATCGACTAACAACCGGGTTTATTTATTTATTGTTACTTTGCTTTTCTCTAATCCGAACACTGTTGAAAACTTCCAATTGCTCACATAGGAAGGCTCTGTCTGGGATTTGCTGTAAGGAGGCACCAAATTCCTCTCCCTATAGTGCAGAGACCATTACACTAGATGCAAGATGTCCGCTTGCACTCCTTGTTGGCAGGTTGGAGAGGAACAATTGGTTAATGGTGGAGGAACGGGCCTTTCAGCTACAGTGTGGAGAGACCCAAAAGAAAGTCAAAATGACATAAATAACGACTGTATTTTAATTTGCATACGTTGAAACCCAGACCACTTCCTAATTCCGATATGTTCCAGTACATTATACACTAAATGAAATCTGTAAAACCAGCATTGATCCCTCTTGATCTTCCTCTTTCTTTTTCTTACTTGCTTTCTCATTCTTCCTGTCCTCCCCCCTCATTTCAAAGTGTTCAAATTGTAGGTAGGTGCCCAGAAGCCTCTTCACTTATCACTTATTGGTGTGCTGCTAAATGTTCCCAATGAATGAATGGTCTTATCTGATGTGATGTGAATGGAATGCATGTGCTACAGTTACCAGGACTGATGTCTTCATTGATTCACTATCTAAAGTTTAAAAGCTAACCCCTACGCCCTCCCTCCCAGTGAGTGCCCTGCTCTCTATCAAGTGTTGTTGTGGGTAGATATTTTCCTCCCTTTCCTCCTTCTCTCCCTTCCCCAACCCCCCAAACACACACACACTATCCCCTACTCTTGATCAAAGGTTTAAAAAAAAATCCTATATGCTATAATTTTTCTGAGCAGATCTTGCTTGAGGAATGAATGGGTTTCTCTCCCCACCCCCCCATCATTACTGCCTGTTCTCCCATACACGAAAAGAGCAGAATAACTTGCATTGTTTAAATAATGCTAAAATGTTGAACTTTCGTGGTGTACATGGCGTTGGAGGCGGGAAAAATAGCTAATAATGTGATTTGTTGGTGACCTCCTGGGGGTGTGAGTAATACAGAAACCAGCAGATTAGGTAATAATGGTTATTTTCAGAACTGTATTGAATAAGCCAGGAAACAGCAATGACTACATTTAGACAATAGTTTGTGGAAATCTGCCTTACAGAGGAAATGCTGCAAATTAGGCTCTACTTGGAATTTTCTCCTACTTTGGCTGTGTGTGTGTGTGTCTGAGAGTTATCTATCTTAGGATTTTGACTTCAGTCGATGACTTCACCCTCAATGGAAATTGCCTGCAGTCGCTGTTTTCTGCCCTACGTGGCCTTGGGATTGCCAGGGGAGGGGTGGAGAGGTAACTGAAGGTGCAATTGAAGAAGTAGATTTTTAAAACCAGTCCCAATGGTTCAGTGAAAGGGGAAGGAATAAAAAGAATAGTTGCTGGGTCGAAATAATCATCCTTATTTTTGATTTGGCGCCTTTCATATCAAAGTGCGACTCAGGATTTATTGTGGAGCATAATGTAATTTGTAGGCAATTTTGCACCCAGCAATGTCCTGCAAAGCCATGAAATGAACAACCAATTCATCTGGAGGATTGTTGGCCAGGACACCAGGAGAAAATCCCTTTGTTTTTCACATAATCTTCTAACGTCTACCTGAATAGGCGTGTGGGATCTTTGTTAATGTATCATCCGGAGGATGGTGCTTCCACAAATACAGCACCCCCCACCCCCCACCCGAGGGTTGCATTGGAGTGTGCGTCTAGACTATACAAGTTCAAAGTTGGGTTTGAACCCACCGTTCGAGGGTTTTAACTCTGAAGCAAGAGTATTACCAACTGAGCCAGGCTGACACTTATTGAAGTGCTCTGGGACACTAACCCGCGTGAAGGGCGCTATATAAATGTAAGTTGTTGTTATTGGAACTAGTCGAGAGCTATGCTGTGCTTCACTAAGGCTAGCTGGCTGGTCAGGGGGTGCCCAGGCCTCCTGTACAGTAATCCAGGCAGTTCTGATTGCAGTCAAGTGTGTAATGCGCTCTTTAGATGTTCAGTCAGCGATGCAGAGTCTGTCTCGTTGCGGCGCAGTTCACCCACTATCCTGTATCTTTAAGTTTCTTTCTATTAGGTGGCCTGTATTGTTAGTACATGTCTGCAGTTAATGTTCGACCGTTAAATGGTTGGGAATTCCACAGACCACACCCAGCAAAGCCCTTGAACTGATTACTCATGCGAGTTGTTCGCATTTTTCTTGTGGAGTGAAATAGTTGTCGTTGAATCAAATGAGCCAGATATTCTAAATGTAATGTCATACCCCATTCATCTAAACAGGTCAATGTAATTCCACATTCCTGACTGACTGAGATCATTGAGCTGTAACTACGGGTGTTTATGCTTCCAAAGGTATTTGAAGTTCCACTAACTGTGTGTGTACACAAAAAGCACAGTCACCACACTTGACACGATATCCTGTGAATTGCTTTAAGAAATCCTCTTGATATGAAAGGCCCTATACCAAATGCAAGATTATTTATAAGTCAACTGCAGACTTTTTAAAAATAATAATAATAATCCTTGCATGTGACATAGCACTTGATCACGTCTTCAAGACGTCTCAAAGTGCTTCACCGTGTATACTGTAAGTGGATTGACTGTGTATTTTGTGGGTTAAATGTAACTGCAGATACAGTAACAGTACACAGGAGGCACACTTGGACTGTACAGTAAAAGAAAGGAGTTCCGGGGGGGTGGGGAGAGGAATCTGGATGGATTTACTGTGATACAACAGACATCAGTTAACCTTCTGCCAGGCCTCAAGCTTCCTGCTGCATAGCGTGATGAAGGAAAAATGGAGAAATTAAAGCCAAGAGCGGGTAAACTGTTTCATTTCCTCTCCCTTGTGTATCTCGATGGGTCAGTCTGTGGCTGCTGCACTGATAGTACAGTAGATGTGTTTCAGAAGCTGTCATTCATTCTCCAATCCTCTAAGCTCTACAGCTCTTGAAAGATGTGGCCATCAGCTTCAATAACTTGCATTTACATAGTGCGGTTTGCATCTCAAATAATATCGCAAAGTGCTTAATGGTGGGTGTCGTGGACACTGAGCAAGGAGAGTTGGTGTTTGAGACGTTTGGAAGCGGGGAGACAGGTAATTGGGTTAATGGTGGTTATGGAAGATTTCTATTGACCGGAGCATTGTGCTCAAGATGACTTGCACTGTGTGGGGGGAGGGGAAAGTGGAGAGAACCGGTATGGGGAGAAGGGGAAGAGAGAGAGAGAACCTGGACTTCACGTGGGATGGGGGAGGGGAAGAACCCGGACTGTGAGAGGCAGAGGGGGAATCTGGGCTGTGGAGTCCTGGGTATGTTATGGGTTATGAAGGGAGGAGCCGGGGAGGCCAGTGAGGAAAGAGAGAGTTGGCTTTTATTGTATTCCCCAACTCTATGAGTAATTGTACAAGTTCACAATATGGGAGGTCCCGAGAAATAAGACATTATATTTTTGTTTTCCTTCCTTGCCACGACCATACTTGGTTTGGAGAGGAAACCAGCAAAGCTGCATTTCGCTAGAAGCTTTCAGCCTCTCTGCCCCCACACTCTGGATCTCCATCCCATAGTCCCTTCGCCTCACTTCCTTGCCTCCTTCAAGGCCTGTCTCAAGACCCTCCTCTTCAATCGTGCCTTCGGTCGCCCTCCCACCTCTCTGCCAACCCTCACCCCTACCCCACTCCTCCCCCATGCTCGGGTCCTAACCCCTGACTATCCAGCGCCTTGGAACGTCCTCCCGACGTGAAAGGTGCTCCATAAATGTAATTTTTGTTGTTGTTGATAAGATGCCATCTCTCTCTCTCGCTGTCCCTCACTCTCTCTGCTTTGGAAGTAAACTCTGTAGAGGTCCGTAGAGTGGCACATTTGGACCAGCAGAGTCTCTCTCACAAACTGTGAGGTGAATAATCAGTTAAATGGAGGATTGTTGGTCAGAGCTCTCTTTCAAATAGCGCTGCAGGGTCTTTAATGTCTATCTGAAGGTGGTTCCTTGGTTTAATGTCTCATCTCAACTGCAACAAGGTGCCTGAAGCCCCCTTCCCACATTTCAACACAGGAACCTAAAGTATGAGCTCAAGACCTGAGGTTAGGTTTGTATCCATAACCTTCTGACCCAAATTGCAGCTAAATTTAGCCACAGTGAGTAGTTTACTCAGCGGAGAGTTTAATCTGAGTCACTGGCTTTCTGCAATGTTGTGCAGTTGCTATGGGATTTGAATACAATTAATTAAAAACCAAAAATAGATGCAATTAGTAAACTCTCGAGTGCCTTACGTTATCCTATAGCGACCGTGAGTAACACACATTCCAACAACACACCTGAGTAAAGAGAAGTACGTACATTCGCAGAGTTTGCTCAGGATGTGAATTTGGGGAGGAGGAAAATTGGAAAAAGTAAGTTTTAAAAAAAAATCAAATCCAGTTTTATAAAAGTTCTGTAAGAGAATCCTGTACATTCTAACATCTGGATCCTATATCTTTTGTACCCTGGAATGGCTAGAGGATTGTGTGTGTGTGTGTGGAGCAGTTTTATGTAAAGTGGTGTTACAGGCAACCCTTACATGGGTTGGTGTAGCCTTTCACAACAGCTACTGACATAATAAACGCTAGTAGGTTTCGATCACAATCAGGAGCAACAGGAAGTGCATGACGTCCGTTTTTGGCAGTGTGGGAGGGATCCCAGGAGTCTATAGACTCCAGTTTCATCCCTGTTCTATCTGAGCAAACCCCTGACAGTGGAGGACGCACACACTGGAGCTATGTTGGTTCAGCAGTAACTCTTGTTCAGTTGCCACATTCACTCCAGACAAGAAGGTAAAAATGTCCTGTTCGCCATTCATTCCGGTTGTTCAGGACTTTAAAGTAACTTCGGAATAGCTTGCCGGTTTACTATAATATAAGACTGCAGCTATTTGAAGCTTTTAAATGTCCATTTTCTGTCTGGTTAGATTGGTTTAAGGTACGTTTTTATTTCCAGCATGTGTCTCTGCAGATTGTTGTTGGCTTGTAATGAATGATTGCCCACGTGGCTGCATTGTGTTCCCTCCTGTCCTGTGTTCTCAGGCTATCCTAATTCCTTTTTCTGTACATGGGTTAATCCTAACCCACCTGTGCAAACAACTCACGAAACCCCATTTCCTTCTTTTGCAAAGCCAACTTTGGGTCAGAAGGTTACGGATACAAGAGTTAGAGGAGGCTCTTGGGGTTAATAGAATCTTCCTTTTGCTTCAGTTAAGATGATGCCAGCCCTCCACCCCCCCCCCCCCCCCCCCCACACTTCGAGTTTCCTTTTTCATCAGAAGTTTTATTTTTTTAAGAAAGTGAATAAATAATTGGCTGCAAATTATTCCAGTGAATTCTGAGGCACTAAACCATGAGAATTCACAGTGAGAGTTTATTCCATGTTCCTCCTGAGTCCTGCGCTTTTTTTTGCCAGAATTGAGCAGATACTTTTAATACCTCTGAAAGTAGGCATTATCTGGGGTGGGGGGTGGGTGGGGGAGAAGGCTGCCGTAGCATTGGAGAGGTCATTCATATTCAATGTGTGAAGTAAGCATCATGGTCTTTACTGGAGATCCTTTCTGTACCTTCCGTTTTGAATGAATTATTATGACAATAATCCTTGTGCTTGACATATCGCATTGTCGCGTCGTCTCAAAGCACTTCACAGGACTTTACTGCAGAGTGTCGTCACTGTGTGGTTGTAGGTAAATGCGGCAGCAAATCCGCACACGGAAATGTCCAACAAACAGCCATGAAGGGAATCACCAAATTTATCTGTTGGCTGGCGTGTCGGGAGAAACTCTCTTCTCTTGTCAAATAATAATAATATAATAATCATAATCCTTGCATTTGATATAGTGCTTTTCACGTCGGGAGGACGTCCCAAAGCACTTCACAGAACACACTGTAAAGTGAATTGACTGTATATTTGTGGGCGAACGCGGCAGCCAATTGCGCACAGCAATGTCCCACAAACAGTCGTAGATTGAAAATGACCAATTTATTATTGTTTTTGGTTTTGGAGGGATTATTATTAGGCTCTGTGTGGAGTAAGGAAACTTGCCCAAGGTTTCGCCCTCTGCCTGGAATTGAACTCAGGTCTCTCACTTGCAAAGCGAGTGCTCTAACCTCTGAGCTACAGGACTCCACAGTAGTAGCACAGGATCTTTAACGTCTACCTGGATAGGTGGATGAGGCCTTGGTTTAACACATCATCCGAAGGATGGGACCTCAGTACTTCTCCCAGCACTTGACCAGAATTTCACTATAAGCTGAAAGTCAGCAGCAAGAATAGGGAGATTTAGGAGATGAGGAGCATTTGAAGTATTTTCCAAGATGGTTTCAGTAACCCATCTTCGACTAATGACTTTATGATCTTTACATAAAGTGAAATTTATGAAACATTTAGATACGAGCAGCTCAAGACCACACGAATAGCTGTCGTACATCAGGTCTGGCCTGTGCTCCCTGAGGGAGGATGTGTAGGATATCAATTGGATACTGACTCTGCTCCACAGCAGGAAACACCGCAAGAGTGTTTGTCTCAGTGTTAAGAGTGACCAATTATGTAAAAGCTGCCAAATTTTCACCACAAAGGCCCACCTCACTGTGCCTGTGAGTCCCCTGTCCACGGTGTACCTTTACGATCAATGCAGTTGAGAACTGATTAACTTTACTGTGACTTAGAGTGGGTGTCTGATTAGGCTGCCAAATATGACCACTCTGTTTGCAGATGGTGGTTTGCACAGTCAGGGTTCGCCTGTGAACTGGGTCAGGAAATGCACAGCAGGTTGATCGGGATCTGAAAGAGAAGCAAGGACAGGGTGAACCTCAAGTGCTGTTGGAGCATTTCCAAATTTAATTTATCTTTTATCATGTTTATGGGATTCGGCCCTCCCCTCCCAGTTTCTTGGAAGAGTCTTAACATCTTGCAATAGATTGCACAGAGGAAGTAATGTTCAAACAATGTTCAACTTCAAGGATTAAAAGGATAAATTACTTAAAATGAATAGTCTAGCGCAAAGCTTAGTCCTGGCTTACAGAAGTCGCTGTGTTAAGTCAATCAGTACTTTTAAAATGTTTTTGGGGACTTTGCTGTGATCAATTGGCTGTGATCAATTTGATATTGTGTCCTTATCAAGTCGTTGAGATGTCTCAAAGCGCTTCACAGGATTTTGCTGTAAAGTGGTGTGACTGTGTATTTCGTGGGAGAAAAATTAACCCACGGGAAAGTCATACTGTAATGAATGAATCAGTCAGCTTGTGTAAATGTGACATGGGCAGTGTGCGCTCAAATTTGGAAGCCCACAAGTACCAGGCTAGTGCCAATGTCTCAATTATTGGTGCCCATTCTCCGAAATCACAGTAAAGCTTCCTTCCGATCAGGAGGTTGGACGTAGATCGGTACCTTTTAGTGTTAGACGGACTCTGATTTTGAATAACCAAAGCCTCGAATAAGGCAGTTGGGAAGTCCCTGCAACATGGAAAGGATGATTAGTGTGCTTGTGGTTTTCCGGTATATTATCGTTGTATCTATCGCTAACATTAACAGTCCCTTGTCGGGATGCGTGGTGTGGCTTTGCTTTTGTGCTCTTTACCCCAGTGTGAAAGTGTAGACAATCTGGAGCTCTTAACGTTCGTTCCATACAACACTTGTGCTGTGACGTATAGTATTGTGAAGACAACATACAGACTTATTTTAAGAATTAAGCGTTAGGAAATATTTTGACGCACAGATGTGTTCCAAGGGGAGGAGGCCAGGAGCAGCTGTTGATGCATTGAAACAATCAATAGTAAAGTATTCATTTAATGGGTGGGTGTTGTTT